CAGTTTGGGCATCTGCCCACGTAAACAGGGCCGCCGACCCTCCCCAGCCCAGCTCGGCATGGGGAAGTGCCTGTCAGTATCGCCCAAAAACTTACTGTTGTTGAAGTTACACTCAGCAAAACATACACCCATCCAGCCATGTCTACACACAGTCAGTCTAGTGACCTTGATGATTCTAGGACTTGTGCAGCCATCCCTCTACCCAGTCGTTCCTTCCCCTCTAGCATCACCTCATTGCCTCTCAAGGTTCTTATCCAATCTTTCCAGTTGCTGTTGTCCGTTTGATCCCATGGAGATAGTTCTTAAAAGAGCACCATGCTGACGACAGACATTCCTGACTAGTTAAGCTAAACTGGTTTATAGAAGACTTTCTGGGATATTTTTGGTTTAAGGTTTAAATATTATCTCAGGGAAACAGTTTGGGGGATTCATTGAGCCTCAAGAAAATGTGGCTTCCATGAGCATTTGGAATTCTGTTCTACAGTTTTCCCCCTTTTGACTTGGATTCTTCTATAGAATCTTTTTTCATTTTTTTTATGATTTTGTATCTCATTATTACTATTTTTATTTTTGCAGTGTTCCCTCTCCTCCTTTCTACAGAATCTTTTATCAAAATGTTCAGTAATGGTGGTCATGATAATTCTGGTCTCATGGCAAGACAGGCAGGTATTCACAGTTCACCCAGGAACACGGACTTGACTCGTCTCTTGTCCACTGTTAATAACCCCAAGGAATTTTGCTACTATTCCTATTCCACCGATGAAACCAGTCCAGAGAGAGTAAGGGTTTGGCCCTGATTACTGAGGACGCCAGTGTTGGTGGATCTGTGGTATTTTTCTCCCATGTATGAAGACAATGCTGCTGGTTCACTGTGCTGCCAGGCAAGGTTCCTGGCTTTCAGAAGTTCATCAATAAGGAAATGGGACCTCGTATTAGTTTTCTATCATTGCCAGAACAAATGACCACTGAGTGGCTTCAAACAACCCACACATAGTATCTTGCAGCTGTGTAGGTCAGAGGCCCAGAATGAGCCTCAGTGGGCTCCAATCAAGGGGTGGGCAGAGCTGTGTTCCTCTGGAAGCTCTATGGGGCACCCATGTCCTGGCTTTTTCCAGGTGCCACAATGATTAACTGCTCGCCTACCAACTGAAAGGTCCGTGCTTCCAACCTACCAGCTGCTCCGCAGAAGAAAGATGTGGCAGTCTGCTTCTGTAAAGATTTATAGCCTTGGAAACCCTACGGGGCTGTTCTACCCTGCCCTCTAGGGTCCCTTGGAGTCAGAATGGACTCAACAGCACACAGCAACAACAGAGGCCCACATGTTCCTTGTCTCATGGCCCCACCTCCATTTTCAAAACCAGCTGCATCACTTCTCTGATCCACTGTCCACCTCTGGTCCCATTCTGCTTCTCTGCTGTCTTCCTCTTTCACTTTTATGGACCCTTGGGATTGTGATTTGGCTCACCCAGATAATCCAAGATTATTCCCTGAAGAAAATCCATAAACTCATTGCTGTTGAGTCAACTCCAACCCCTAGGGACCCAATAGGACGGAGTAGAATTGCCCTACAGGGTTTCCAAGGCTGTAAGTCTTTACTGAAGCAGAGTACAGCATCTTTCTCCTGAGGAGAGGCTGGTGGGTTCAAGCTGCCGACCTTTTGGTTGGCAGGTGGTTTGGTTACCCAGTGCCACTCTGACAGATATACCACAGATGGGTGGTTTTAACAAACAGGGATTTATTCTCTTACAGTGTTGGAGGCTAGACATGTGAGTTCAAGTGCCAGGTCTAGGGGATGGGTGAAAGCCCCTCAGCCTTGGGCTTCAGCCCTGTCTTTTACTCCCAGCCCAGTGAAGCTAGAGGCATTTCTTCACTCAGGCAGCTGCTGAGGCTAACAAGCCCAAGGTCAAGAAGTGAAAAGGCACAGTCCCGATATTACTAACCCACATGACAGGCCATTGATTCAAGTCCATTAACAGTCCCACAATCAGCAGACAACGTGGCAGGCTACAGGCAGGATTCAAGTGTGCCATAAGGTAGAGACCAGACCTAAAGCTTCTCCTTCTCTACAGGAAGCAGACCCCATCCCTAAGGCGGCTACTCAGCTGCTCCAGTAGATTTCTCCATGGAGTTGATGACCAGTCTCATCATGGGGAATAACTACATCCAGCTGCCCAGCCACATTTACACATAACCTTAACTACCACAGCAGACAAGCACCTTAACAACTATACCACCTGGGCTCCTATCTGATAAGCCAAAAGCAAACCTAATGCCGTCAAATCAATTCTGAGTCACAATGACCCCCATTGGGTTTCCAAGGCTGTAAACCTTTTCTGAAGTAGATTGCTTCATCGTCCTTCCATGGAGCAGCTGGGGGATTTGAACCACCAGACTTCTGGTTAGCAGCCAAATGCCTTACCCACTACACCACCTGAGCTCCTTAATCTCCTGATGAGCAACCCTAATTCACCAACCTTAATCCCTCTTTGCCATGAAAGGTAACACAGGTTTCAGGACAGGGACATCTTTGGGGGTCCTTATCTGGCCTCCCATGAACCTGATGGTGTCTGAGAGGCTCCTGTCAGTTCTCAATAGCATGTGTGCCTCTTCAGTCGTGGGTTTACACTGAGCCACCTTTATGCTTCTGGTCTCCTTGGTGGTGACCCACAAGGCAGGCGCTCCAAGGTCCAGGGCCCCTTAGGCATGGGATCTCAATAACTACACATAGTCAGGATCACATAGTCAATGAACATGCATGACCACCTCAGGTCCCCTCCCTTCCAGAAATCAGTTTACTACATGGGGGCCTATACAACCTCTATTTGCCTGGCTGTTTTAGAAAGACGGAACCACTGCCCTGGAGTCCATTCTGACCCACAGCGCCCCTAGAGGACAGAGTGGAACTGCCCAAAGGGTTTCCAAGGCTGTGAGTCTTTATGGAAACCTTATCGTTCTCCTGCAGAGCAGCTGGTGGGTTAGAACCACCGACCTTTGGGTTAGCAGCTGCTTTAACCACTGTGCCCCCAGGTTTCCTTAGAGAGGCAGAGAACACTTTAACAGCTCAGGCTATTTTCAGAAACCAGGTACAAAGGCCAAACTCAGTTTCTTGGTCCCACAAATGCATACTCTTTTCTGAGCAATGGGCTAATAGAAAAAAATTAGCAGGTGAGTAAATGTATCTGATTCTTAAAGAGCTCAATAGTTTTCCATAGTAAAGTTAGTTCATGCACAATGGTCCTGTAAGTTTATGTGTATGATCTGAATTCCCAGGTGTATAGTAGAGCTGACAAGGGGCAAGGTTGTAGTCACTTCTTGGTCACAGCCAGCTACCCAGAGGGACCGAGTAGTTGAACCTGTGGGCTCAGGACCAGAGTCGCAGGAGACATCAAGCTCAATTGGCATAATGTACTACATAAAACATTGTTCCACCTCCTACTTTGGCGAGTAGCAACTGGGATCTTAAAAGCTTACAAGCTGACATCTAGATGCAACGATGGGTCTCTCCTCGCCCAGAGCAAAGAATAATGAAGAAAACCAAAATTAATGGAAAGAATTAGTCCTAGCAACTGGTACGCCCTGTGATCTGCAGCCTATATGACTATGAGACCAGAAGAACTAGATGGTACCCAGCTACCACTGGAAGGGGGTCTATGTAGGAGATCCTGGATAGAGAGGGAGAACAATGTGGAACAAAACTCAAAATCATTTGGAGAAAAAAAAAAGGGGGGGGGACCAGGTTTACTGGTCCGATAGAGCCTGGTGGAACCACTGAGACTATGGCCCCTAGCTGTGTTTCAGGTCTGGAATTGAACCCACACCTGTGGCTTCCAGCCAAACAAAAGACAGGCATGTGAATTGAACATTTACCTGAGGTAGATACACTCCTTGGAGAGAACAGTATGGGAGAAAGAAGGGCTGCTATGCACAGGGAGACAGCTCAGGGGGCAGGAGTGCATGGAGGGATGGACACAGGGAAGAGGTAACTATCGGGACGAAGTGGGAGGGGAGCTGTTGCATTGTGGTAAATTGTGGCCAATGTCATGAGATGAAAAATGTATGTGACTGCTGTATGGGAACTGAATTTGCTCTCTAAATTTTCACCCAAACCATAATTAAAAAAAAGAAAAGTTAGTTTATGCGAAAAGATATAAACAATTTGACCTAGTATCAGAAAATTAGGGAAAAATAAAACCACTCATTTCCACTGCGAGGAATATTTTGATAAATTCCTTGTAAGCTGACTTTTGGGCACTGTCATTTGAAAAGCTCCCTAGGTGGTACAAACGCTCTTGCCTACAAAAGGGTGGTGGTTTTAACCCACCCAGTGGTGCCACGAAGAAAGGCCTGGCAACCTAGTCCCATAAAGATGAGAGCCAAGAAAGCGCTGTGGGAACAGCCCCGTGCTGGGTGCCTACGGGGCTCTGGATCCACAGGAACTCGGTGATTAGCCTGAGTGACCTGACACGCTGCGAGAGAGGCCTTTCTTCTGCACACTTCAAAGGAGGGGAAAGTGAGGCAGGGGTTGGGAAGGCGTGTGTCAAAGCTCCCAGAAACACACACAGGCACACACAAGCATGCATACACACGGGTCTCTAGCTCCAGGCCACCCACCTGTCCCAGCCCTCCATCTCCACCCATCCCTGGAGCCCAGGGCCTAAAGGCCTTCGCTGACGGGGGGATTTTGCCCCCTTCCACAGGAAGGAAAGAGTTCCGGCGGCACAGTGGGTAAGGTATTTGCCTGCTAACCACAAATTCGGTGGTTCAAACCCACCAGGTGCTCTGCAGGAGGAAGATGAGGCAATCTTCTGCAAAGATTTACAGCCTAGGAGACCAATGGGGTAGCTATGTCAGAAGCAACTCCATGGCAGTGGGTTTGGTTTGGGTTTTGTTTCTTTTTTGGGGTTCCATAGGAAGAAGCTGCTGGACCCCGGGGTCCCTGCCAGGGAGGAGAAGGAGGCACTAACTTCCATCAGCCGGCCTGTGGGCAGCCCTGTCCCACCATGCCCCTGCCCGAGCCCAGCAAGCGGGAGAACGAAAGCGTGCAGGCCGGCCAGGAACCTGCCCGAGAGCCTGGCACCGATGTTGTTCCTGCCGCCCCCAGGATCCCCAAGTTCCCCTCCAAGCTCGTCCTGCTCACAGCCTCCAAAGACAGCGCCAAGGTGGCGGGGAACAAGCGTAAGGGTGTGCACTGCATCATGTCCCTGGGGACGCCGGGCCCCGCTACCCTCGCCAAGGCCCTCCTGAAGATCCACCCTGAGGCCCAGCGGGCAATCGAGGCGGCACCCCAGGATCCTGAGCCGAAACGCAGCAGGCTGGACACAGGTGAGGGTGGGGCTGCCCCACCCCCAGGGCCCTGATAGCACAGCAGGCAGGGCCAGCCGACCAGTGAACCTCCCCTCTGCCCACCTCTCCTCTGCGGAGCCCCCAGGACAGTTGTGGGCACCCAGGTGGCCCAAGTTAGGGCTACTGCTGTCTACAGGGGTGAGGGGGTATGTGTGGTCTTGGCTGCTGGTCTGTTTTTTGGGGGTGTTGACTGCCCAAGCTCACTGCACTCTTCCATGGTTTTGGAGTGGCTTTGTGGGGACAGGACATGTTGGGGGCCATAGCCCCACTCCCCAGCCTCTTGGTTCAGTCCCTCCTGTGTAGTTAGTGCCTGATCTCTCTCTGAGGCAGATGGTGGGTGCAGAGAGTGATAACAGGGATCAGTACTTGGGGACTCACCGAGACCAGGGACTCAGACCTCCAGCCCCCCTGCAGGGGGCCACATCACACCGTTGGGTGATTCCCAAAGACCAGTCTCTCTGGTGTCCCTGTGGGTCCACCTGGGTCCTCCCACAGGCTGGGGAGTTGGGGTGGAGTAGAGAATGCTGTCCCCACTGACCTGTGGACAGGCCATGCTCAAGTGGCCAAGTCATCTCCCTGGGGCCACCGGCCAGTCCTCTGCAGAGAGAGGAGGGGGTTGGGGACTCCCTCAGAGCCAGTTATACCCACTGACGCCAATGGGACAGGGCCATGCAAGGGTCCCTTCAAGCCGGGTGTGAGACCTCTGCTCCCTGATGGGACCTGCTCAGGCCTGGGCCCCCTTGGGCTCCCTCCCACCCTGTACCTCTGTCGGAATAACACAGGGCCCCTTCCGCTTGCGGAGGGAAGGCCAGGGCAGGGCTCCCCGAGGCCGGCGCTCCTGGGCCGCCAGCTCCGTGCATGGGACACCTTGGTCAACAGGCCTCCCCCACCTCACCGGAAGGCAACTCAGATTTGTCCAAAAGTTTTCTGGAAATAACTAGGCCTTTGTGTCCCTGGGCTTAGGGTCCGTGTCCCTGGAGTCGGGGGACCCTAGCAGCCGCGGGTGGACCCAGCCCCCCCCCAGTCCCTTTGTCTGTAGCCTGACCCCCCCCCTCTTCTCTTCCAGACGCCGAAGGGCCAGGAGCCGCGGGAAGAGCAACCCGGCCGCCGCCCCCCACCCCCGCGGTGCGAGGCGGCAAGTCCGCGCAGTCCGCGGGGCGGGGCAGGGTGTGCGCGGCGCCCGGCGCGTCCTCGTCACCTTGACAACGGCGCGGCCTGGGCCTGCACGCCGGGCGGTGGAACTCCGCCCAGGGTGAGACGAGATCCGAGGGTCTGTCCCCGATTTTCAATTTCAACATCGTGTAACTTTTTTTTCTTTTTAGATCATGCCTAATTTACTTTTGTAAACAGACACTTTTTCCCAAAAAAATATTAAAAGAAGCTGTAGTAGGCTAGACCCCATCGTGCATACAACCCAAACTCATGCGATGGAGTCGATTCGGACTCGGAGCGACCCTCTAGGACAGAGCACAACTGCCCCCTAGGGTTTCCAAGCCTGCACATCCTTAGGGAAGCCGACTGCCACATCTTTGCCGTGCAGCGACTGGTGGATTTGAACCACTGACCTTTTGTTTAGCAGTCAAATAAATGCCTTCACCACTGCACCAGCAGAGCTGCCGGGAGGCCCCAGGATTCTGGGGCGCCCAGCTCCGACCCCATCACCGGGTGGGGGTGGGCGGGAAGGACCGTCTCCGCTCCCGTGAGCCTCCCTACCTGGTCCTCACCTCGTCCTTCCACCTCCACCTGCCTCTCCTCCCGTAGCCTCCTTTGAAAACTTCCTCTGGGCTCGAGAAAATGAATTATTTTTAAAATGTGGAGTTTGAGGGCCTCGTGTTTTTAAGCAGTATTTTTCAAATTTAATCAGTATGGACAGACTCCTTTGTCACTCCTCGGCGCAGTGCCCCATTTTTGCTTTAGTGTAATTTCCCCCTAATTTACAGCGTCATTGTTACAGCATTTACGTTGTCTTCTGTAACGGTAACTTGGAAACTACTTTGTCTTCCTTGTATATTTAAATGCGCCCCGCGTTCCCCACCGCGGTTTCTCTCCTCAATGTTGTGAGTCACGTTCTTGGCTGGCTGATTGCTGAGTGGAGCCCCAAGGAAGCAGGGGTGAGGAAGAAGATGTGATAATGAGAGGAGGCCAGCGGTGACTTCAGGCTCAGCCCATGCCTGGTCTCCCCGGCGTCTCCTGACAGCCTCAGCCAGGTGCGTAAGCGAGGACAGATCTCTGACTCCATCGGCCCCTCCAAGTGTTACCTGGGAAACCAGACTGCAGGCCACAGGGCAGCCAGGTGGTCCTCAGTGAGGGGGTGAAGCATGGGCGGGCCCTCTGTCCTGGGGCCCTAAGTGGGTGGCTGATGCCCAGTGATCTTCGTGTGGGGCCCCATCAAGGCAACGTGACATAAAAGTCGAAGGGCAGTGTGTAGTCCCGTAGATTAAAACAGGTACACGCCCCCCCACACACACACCCCCTCTCCTTTTACCTAGTTTCCTAGGGGAGAGTTCAAGACTTCAGATATCTTGACTTCTTACCCCTCAATCCTTGGTCTGCAACCCCTCTCCTCCATATGCTTAAAAGAATCACCATTAATTCAGTGACATCATCCAGCACCCAGGCCACACCCAGGGTTCCTCACAAGGGGGAGGGCAGAAGGAGAGGGGACCGAGCTTCCCCGTCCCAGCCAAGAATCCAAAACCAAACCCACGGCCGCGGAGTTGATTTTGGCTCACAGTGACCCTGTGGGACCGAGTGGAACCGCCCCATAGGATTTCCAAGGCTGCAGATCTTTGCTGAAGCAAAGCCCAAACCAAACCCACTGCGGTGAGTTGATTCTGACTCATAGAAGCCCTACAGGACAGAGTAGAACTGATTCACAGGGTTTCCAGGGTTATAAATCTTCACGGAAGCCGGAAGCCGACTGCCTCCTCTTTTGCCCACTGAGCAGCTGGTGGGTTGCAAGGGCTGCTGACCTTTTGGTTAGCAAGCTAATGGTTTAACCACTGCATCACCAGAGCTCATTCCCACCCAGCCAGGGCCGCTTTTTCTCTCTAGTCTGGGAGACATTGGAGCCCTTGGAGGGTCGCAGCCAATGTCCCCGTGCTGCATTCTCCAGATTGGGGGTGGGGGACAGATAATTACAATAGGATAAGAATTAAATACCATCCCGCAAACCCCTTTTAAACAGTAACTTTGATTGGGCTCTAAACAAACAAACAAAAGAGGTAATATTTCTTTAAAGGAAGTACTGATTGTAATTCTTTAAATTTTAAGTCTATAAAACATTTTTATATAAAAAAAAAAAACTGGGGTTGGAATGATATGGTTCATGTTCTTAATATGTGTGCCCTCTGGTGGCCCTGTGGTTAAAGCATTGGGCGACTAACTAAAAGGTCAGCGGTTCAAACCCGCCAGCCACTCTTTGAGAACCCAACTTCTTCTCCATCCTGAAAGGATGCTATGAGTGGGAGCGGATGTGATGGCGTGGGCTTTGGTCTTTCCACCAAGCTAGTATCATAGCCATCCTTTTTACTGGCTGCATAATATTCTGCTCTAAGGGTGGGCGATCATTTATCCAACCGATTCCGACTGCTTTGTAGCTGCGGAAGTTTCTTGGGATTTCGTTGTTCTAAGCAGTCCTTTTTGGGAACTCTGGTGGTCTAGTGCCTAAGGCATTGACCGCTAACACGAAGGCTGGCGGTTCAAACCCACCAGCCACTCCCCAGAAGGAAGACTAGGCAATCCACTTCCGTAGAGACACTGCCTGGGAAACCCAAGGAGGGGTCGCTATGAGTCAGAAACGACTCCAGGGCGGTGAGTTTCGGTTTTTGGGTTTTACGCAGCACTTTCACAAGCTGCTGTTTTCCTGGGATAAGGTTCTAGAAGTGGGATTGCCACCTGCCCAGGGTCCACCGGCAGGCGGGAGGGACGGTGGGCGGAGAGGAAGGGGTCGGCCTGGGCCGAAGGGCCACCGGAGGAGCTCTGGGGACCGCTCTAGGAGCGCGGGCCGCTACGCGGCGCTCTCTCCTACGAGGGGACCCGACACGTCAGGCTGCTCCGCCCACAGGCGCAGGGGCTCACCGGCCGGCCCCACCCACAGGTGGAGACATCAACCCGAGTGACGCCACCAGGGGTCTCCGGTGAGCCCCCCGCCTAGCTCTGGGAGCGGCCCCGCCCAAGAACCGAGTCGGAGCCTCAGGTGGGGCCGACGCTCCGCCCCCGCACAGCAGCGCCCAATCCCGGGGCGGCCCCGTCCCCAGAGCAGAGGCCGCGGCTCGGCGCCGCGCTGGGAAGACCCGGAAAGTGGAACGTACCCAAGGAATCAGGCCCGCAGCCCTGCTGCGCATGCTCGCCCAACGCTGGCTTGGGCGTTCGGAGCGGCCGGAACCCTCGCGGGTCGCGCGCGCTCCCGGCGGCCACCGGGGCGGCGCGCGCGGGCACGAAGCTCGCTCCTGAGCGAGGGTGGGGGCGGGGAGCCGAGGTCGTGGTGGCCGGAGGGCCGTGGACCGCGAGGTCGACGCCGGAGGTTGCAGCGGCGGAGGGCCCCGCCGCGGCTCGGTCGCCGGAGACAGGGCCCCGCTGCCGTCGCCGCCCGGCCGGCGCTCGGTGAGGACGGGCCCCCGGGCGTGGGGAGGGTCCTAGGCCCCGCGGCGTGGACGCGCTCCCGCCCGCGCTTCTCCTGGGGTCCCACTGGGCGGCTGATGCGGGGAGGGGGGTGTCCCTCGGCTCTGCGTCCCGATCTTCAGGTCGCCTCCTCGTCCTTCACGGCGATTTATCTCCTTCCTCCCCTCGCCCCCCCACTGCCCCCCCGACCGGAGCCGTGACACCCCCAGGTCGGGGGCCCCACATTCGCGCGCCTTCCCCGGCCGTGCCCGCCCACCCACGCTGCCCCCTGCCCCACCCCGGCCCACCATTGTGCTTGGAGGTCCCCGTGACCTTGCGCGGTTAGCTGGCTCTGCGCCCCTGCCTCCCACTTCTGCCGTGTAGATTGTCCCCATGGTTTCAAACTTTTTTGACTGATCCCACACTGAGCAGTACTTCCTGTGTGCATCCTCTGTCTCGGGAGCCGAATGACAAAACTCGAGCTTAAGGAGACCTCTGCCTACCCTTAGCTCACGGGCTGCGGCCACCTCTATTGTATTCTGTGTCCGTTCTGTTTTCCACGCCGCCCCGTCCCGTCCGTTCCTTTCCTCTCCGTCCCATTGTGTCCCACTCCCCTCCATTCCCAGCCCTGCTGCTGCTGACTCATCGGTTGATCCCGGAGCTGCGGCTGTGACCGCAGTTGGGAAGCCCAGGCTTGCTCCCGGCATTGGCCTGCGCCTTCCCTCGCTTGCACTGGGAGGGTGCCGGGCTCCCATAATTACGTGTGACCTTCCATTAGTTCCAGAGAAAGGGCGTTTTCATTATCTTGGCATGTCTGCTTTTCAGGGCCACACGCACTGGGGGCTGCTTGACTTCGATGCTGTCTTTCCACCCCATCAGCTCTGTGTTTCCTGTCTGGGATGGTCCGTTGTAGGAGAGAATAAAGTGGGAAGTCAGGGGTACGTGGTGGAGCAGGGCTGAGGGTGTGCTGAGCCCTGGGATGTGGACACGATTGACTTGGGAGAGAAACCACTAACGTTGAGCTTTAAAAGATTAGCCTGTGGGCACTGTGATGGGAAGGAACCCTCTTGGCTCCACGGTTAAGCACTTGGCTGCCAACCAAAAGGTTGGTGGTTCAAACCCACCCCACGGCTCTGTGGGAAAAAAGACCCAGTGATCTGCTCCTATAGAAATTAAACAACCATAAAAGCAAAAACGCACTGCCAGAGAGGTGGATCTGACTCATAGCAACCCCTCCTTGGGTTTCTGAGGCGGTATCTCTACGGAAGTAGATTGCCCAACCTTCCTTCCGAGGAGTGGCTGGTGGGTTTGAACCGCCAGCCTTCTGGTCAGCAGTCAGATGCCTTAGGCACTCTGCCACCAGCCTAGAAAACCCTCGGGGACAGTTCTGCTCTGTCACGTGGTGTCACTATGAGTCAAAATCAACTCCATGTCACCAGGACAGGCTGTTATGTTACTTCTGGTTTTTGGCTCAACAGTGAGGCTGGTTGTGGCCCTGGAAGGCCAGGGCAGGAGCGAGGAGACCCCGTGACTGTCAGGAGGTACTGAGATGCGTGGGGAGAAGACGCAACTGGGATCAAGGGACCGGCAAGTCCCTTGTT